TAGGTACCGGCCAAGCTGGATTGCAAGTTTGCCAGTCATTAATTTTTGTTTTTCAGGAAAAGTCGGTGTTGGATATTAACTTACTATTTTACTCCCTCCGTTCCATAATGTAAGACCTTGCAATGTTCTGTAAATAAATTATACTGTATTTTTCCTTGTTATTGTTTTCTCCGCTTTTGCGATCTAAAGATACTCGCTATTTATACTATCTTGTTTCTAAATGTAAACTATTGATGTTTAAATTAAATTGTCAAAACATCTTATATTTAGAAACAAAGGGTGTGACAGATTGTATGATTTTTTATTTTTTATTTTACTTTAAGTCATTGAATGCACATCTGACCGAGTTGTATATATGTCCTACTTGCCGTAACTTGCATAAAATGGAACAAAATAGGATAGCATAAGACTGAGAGTCGCACTGAGTGTAGCACTGAGGTATGGCTACGGAGAGGACAACCATGTATCGAGGAACTTCTGCCTCCTAAATTAACTCTACGATTATGAAATAAAACTCATTTACCCTCGCAAAAAGAAAACTTGCACACAAAAATTGTATTCCAAAGTTTTAATAAACTGAAAATGGTAAACAGTACCTTTGGGATTGGTCGTTCGTCTTCCACCTCAAGAGCATTCTCTGCACATCTTCAAGTTTTCATTTCCTTCCTCCTATATAATTTCTCCTCCTACTTGATGTCTCGCCTCTCGGCCTCTACTCCCCATTCCTATCATGCTTCACGGTCCCCCTGCCCCCACACCACATAAAGGGAAATTAAGAGAGCTTGCTTATTGCCGTCGTGGAGGAGACGCGTAGCTCATTCTTGATGCAATGACGACGGCGGCCGGTTCGCCAAGGAATGCAGATGGCTGGACATTACATGATGGGACTGTTGAAATATATTGTCCACCTCTTTCTATCGGTTCGGACTTTGGGAGCAACTAGCTGAAGCATAAATTCAGTATGGTATCCGAGCCAAGTGGCTTTGAATTCAAGACCCTGCCAATGCAGTATTAAAAAAGGATTTCGTGGCCTACATTGATCCAAAGTCTAAGGACTAAAATAGCCTATATGTGAAGGGGAGTGAAATATATTGTCCGCCTCACTGAAGCATGAATTCAATAGGAACATGAGCCCAATGTAACTAGTTCCCGTCGTCGAGAGAATGTAGAGGTTATTGATGGCAGTATAGAGGTGGAGAAGGCGATAACCCAATGTTGATGGTGGGACAAACTCGGGAGATACATGGGAGGCCGAGCTCATTTGTCATGTTGAAGCAACAAGGGTGCCCCCTAATCGGAACTGGTTGCTTTTTCCTAACAATACGTGATCCTAAAGGTGATATTTCAACTATCATATGAAACTGGTGGCTTTTTCCTAACAATACGCGTTCCTCGAGGCGATATTTCAACTATCATATTCGCTGGAAATTATTGTTTCAAACAGAACTAATTTCACAATGCAAGAGTTATATTTTAAATCCAGCTTGGTGTTGTCCACGTTGACATTTTTCTTCTCTTCTCTAACAGTGATAAAATCTAGAAACATTTGACTTGTCTGAATTCTAAAACGACCTACATTGCTGCGCCAAATGTTCGGCTGGCTGATATCTTTGTTGTGTTATCCCTCTTTAGGTTGAACGATCTCTTAGCTTTATCAGGCAATGCAGCTATTACATTGTGTACACAGAAAAATAAAATAGTCACATGAACATATCTGAATGCCAGCAGAGGATGATGATAGACAAAAGAAAAGGGAAAAACAAATGTACAGCCCATGAATAGCACTTCAAAAGAAAAAGGAAAAATGCAGAAGCGGAAATATTTTCTTACAGCCAGTCAGCTTCCTTCATCACCACTCCAGAATACAGTTTATACAAACACCAATGCATCAAAAGATACCAAATGGATGTCATATAATGCAACACCCGCAAAACCTCTTGTCGTCCCGTGTAACGATATCCTACGCAAAATGAATGAGAAACGGAGAAGAAAGCAGCTTTAAGCCACAGTGAAGCTACTAATCAATTTACAATTTCCCTCAAATTTACAAATTACAGCTACATTTTTCCCAAGTGTGTATATGGTGCCGAATAGCTCAATTGTACTCCCGCCGATCCTGACGGGTACGGGAATGTTGAAGACTGTCACGCCACTGCACGCCTGCATACGCAAAGAATTGCTATCCTGTTCTACATAGTAACAATTTTCGAAATGCAGACTGGCGGATATCCGTGAGCCTATTGCTACAACCCATCTCCTGTGTAAAATGAACAGCTAGCGCCCAAAGATATGAGCATGTCCGAATTCTCCACAGCCAGCCCTCGACGATATTAGCAAAAACATGTCCACGGTAATCTAAATGGACGATGGAGCCTGAGCAGTGAACGTGTACAATCTACAGCGACGACTCACCCAATTCCCAACCGACGAATCATAGTGGAAGAAGATTCCGGATATACTGCCGGGAAGCACTGTTGCGTCCAAGGCCCAGCCCTAGGCCGAACGGTGTCCTCTCATTCTTCTTGCTGTGGTCACAACACTGAGAGGAACCACCTTGACTGTGAGAGTTTGAGTTGGCATGTGAATCAGCACAAGCATGGTCATCGCAATTACCATGATGGGAATGGCCCTCGCCATTCTGTGAGACTGCACTTGTCATCTGTATCATTCCTATTTCTTCGTCAGTGCGTGATGCATGCTCGAGCCGCTCAACGTCTTCATTGTACCCGTTTACCAAGAAGTCTGAGCAGTTCTTGCGCACCCCATGGTCGAACGGATTTCTGAATCTGCCAGCTGGGCCTCTTAGATAAGTGTATCTCATGGAATTGGCCATCTCGTTGGTCGTGATGTTCCTTGCTATCTACAAGGGAGAGAAACAATACATGAAGAAGAATACATGGTACAGATCAACATGTCCCTCCTGTACTCCAGAGAGGCTATAACTACTGGATGGAAAGCATGGTCCCACACATGAACCTCACAGATAGCTTCATAAATCAAATAAGCAGACAATGATGTTTCGCATCTGGCCTTGATTTTATCTCTGTTCAGTAATTGCAATCTTGACTTTGCTATTGAATTCCAAACATGATACAGTTTTATTGACAAATGCTTAACTATATTGCCTGACCAATAATGTTGTGTTCATACTTGATAGGTCATATACTCATGAATGAGCTGACAACGACATGCCAATCTGACATATCCAGCAATTTCCATAGAAAAATGATCCAGCAAGGCACAAATATCTGGGAAAACTCTAGTAAAGGTGTTACCGCAGTAGCATACTTTCCGTAAAAAAAAGATCCAGCAAGGCACAAATAATGTTATGTTCAGGATGTTTTATACAAGTTCATGCCTTAGTTTAGTTAGCAATCAAAAAATGTTGAAGATTGTGCTACAATGCACAAGCATATCGGTGGCTTCATGATTTTAGAATCAAATAACAAATAACTTGGTTTTCTTAGGTAAAAACATCCAAGATTTATAACATTAAAACTTTAAATACCTGGTACGCTTGAACTCCTGTTAGACATGCAACACCAAAGAAAATGAAAAGGTCCATCATGAAAAAAGAAACAGCTCCAGTATGGTAAACAACAGAATAGCCAAGCCAATCGCCAAAGGATGCTGGAGAAGCTGGGTCACTTACAGTCCCTGCCAACAAAAAAAGTAATGAATCATACAGAACATTTCCAGTCCATGTTGCAAGGAAAAGCCACAGAAGACTTAAGACTATACTTATGATGGCAGCAGAACCAGTAATGATCATTGCAATTACTTCTAGAGTGATGAACATGAAGAATTCCCATTTGTTCTTCTGCAGTTACATTCCACTATAGATCAGACTGAAGAACAAGCAGATATGAAGAGAATAACAAAATTCAAACAAAAAGTAAAGAAAGAATCAGCAAGTGATAAGCACAGGCTCTTCATAGTGTCACTTTCTTAAAAGTAAGGTGGTATCATAACCTTTTGTCTACATGATATTCATCAAGCAACATAAACCGTCCAATACATCTTCAGAAGAGGTGATAAGTTGATAGCTACATTTGATCACATGTAGGCACATATGACATGACTGAAAAGCCTACCTTGCCGACGCAATTAGATACCCAGGGGCAGTGATGGTCAAACTGCTCAACACAGCGATCACATGTAGAACAATGTTTCGAACGAACAGGTCTGACAATCTGCAGAACGACACGTTCAGAAATCAGAGGCCTAAGAATATAATTCTAGGATAGGGACAACTAATTCATCACTGTATAATGTAGTAATGTACCGCTTACTTTGCAGGTTATACAAAGCTGTGACCAGTTACCAGTCAGAAGTGCAGGATTGTCTAACTCCATCTTCAACAAGGGTTCCTAAAGCAAAATGGGATTGCAACATTTTGGGATATGCTTAAACCTTAAATTTGGTAATGCATCTAGAATAGCAAATGATCATAAAGGTGCTTGCAGCAAACCAAATTAACTCGGCTAATCTTTCAAACTTACATCGTCCCTTTGATTATGTGAATCTCTTGTATTCGCACTGATGTAGCCAGGGTCTTTCCTGCAGAAAGTAAAAGCAAATTTTACATCATAGTGGTGTTGCTTAATGATAATTAGGTCGCTTGTCTCTAACTGGTGGCAATGGGTTAGTAGCACTACATTTTAATAGAGCAAATTTGCAACACATATATACGTTGCAATCGCAAAAGAATAATGTTTAAATAATTTGCCATGTACGTAACACATATAAGAGTAATCTAAACAGGATGTCATATATGAGTGCAAATATGCAAGCAGACACATAATGAACTCTGCCACTGTCTGAAAGTATTGTCAAGAAAAGTGGTAACTGACAAGAATCAACATGCTTGCTGGATTCAACCTTTTCATAACTACTCCCTCCGTCCCAAAATACTTGTTGTGGTTTTAGTTCAGAACTAAAGCCACGACAAATATTTTGGAACGGAGGACTACCCAAATGCTTCAGTACCTGCTACATTTATAGAACATGACCAAGCCAGCAGTTGCAACGAAAACTCCAGACCATGCAAATAGCCCAAATGCTGGTGGCATACCCATGTTATATTGTCCTGGTAAAAAGGAAATATAAATAAGCACCACAGTGCGGAAGAACAGGGCGAGTGAAAAGACATTAGAAACGCTACTTACCTGCTATAACAGAATGTATATATGTAGCAAGCAATACAACAGCGATACACCAAAGAAGAGGAGCAAGCCCTACTTTTGATAGCTTTGCAAATGTCGGATTCCTGTTACATCCACTGTCATGTACCCTTCTAGCATTGTCCTGTAAGGAATGACGCAAATCAAGTCTTCAGATTCTTCTTGGAAACAAGAAAAGATTTCCCCAGTTCAAATATCAGCAATACTAAAGCCCTTTCAACTCAAGATCAACATGATCGCTTTTTTGCAGATAATATACATTGAGGGATAACTGAAACGGTTAATCTACAAGGCATCATAAATAATTAAAGTGAAGAAGTCTTAATCTATCAGTGCAATCAGCCAACCACATGTAAATGCTAAACAGTTAATCATTTCAATTCCTAAGTTCAAATGGAATCTGCAAAATATCTGTGAGACAGTAAGAGAATAGGTCACAAAGAAGAAAATATATTTTTCTCCTTGGTTGCATCTATGTACATACAAGTACCAGTTTCTGGTATTTTCCAGCCAAACCAGTATCTGCTTTTTGTTCTAAATATAGCCAATTAGACATGTCATTTGACTGTACTTTTATCAAGTCTACACATAAAATTACCAGGTTCAGAAAGCATGTGCATCATTCAACAAATTCGCCAACAATACCTCATCATGAAACTCAGCCTTCCTTAACGAATTTAAACAATTAGAAAGCAGGCATACAAAATCTATAGTGATGCAAATTAATATTGCTTATAGTTTTTGTCTTTATGCAAATCAAAATAATTACTAGACAGAATCCCTATTAGATGACAGTGCTTGTGCATTGAGCCTCCGAGGTGCTGGAAATAGCAGCTCAAGTAGACTAGAACAGAAATGACATGGTCCGTGTTGTTACTCACAAGAAAAAATGCAACTTGTCGATGATTCTTATCAGCAGCAAGCTGTGCTGGAGTTAAACCAGTTTTGTCTTTCACCATCAAGTCATCCTTTTTCCCAGCCTGAACTAGCACAGTGCATGCTTCTAGATTACCCCGGATAGCAGCCCAATGTAAAGGAGTACAACCTACGGCAGCATTTGTCATAAAGAAATAAAAGTCAAGCTCCACGTGCTGTGTTCTATTTACAGGCAGAGCAGTGAATAAATTTAGCACATGCCTTCCTTATCCTGCCGCACCCTATGAGCATCCAAATACAAAAGAAGACGTATCGAATCTGCGAACCCCTTGTAAGCAGCCCTACAAGGTAAATAAGCAACACATAAGAAAACAGAAATGTAAATGTAAAAGCAGGTCCTAAAGTTCTGTTCAGACATATGTTACATAATGCACCAGCAGAAATAATTGGTAGGCTAATGAGTTACTCAAGACTCAAGAGCATAAGGTACGAACAAACCAGTGCAATGGGCTTCTTCCATCGTTGTCAGGGACATCTGGATCGGCATTCCATTTTGCAACAATGTGATAAATAAATGCTGTCTGACCATACTGCGCTGCAACATGTGTGGCCTGCAAACAACAGTATATATTGATTTATAGAGTTGTAATTAATTCAATGCCACATGTGAATGCCGTTGATTCTTGCATTTCTTTTCATGTAGAAAAAATCGTATAGCCAAAGGTTTTTTTGTCCATTACATATATCTTATCGTGTAACTTGCAGGAAAACAAGATGGGAATAGTTGATCCATTTGGCAGGCAAATATCCAACGACTAGTTGTCTATCAGTTGTGAATGAACATTGGACACCCAAAAGCAAACACAAAGGCAAAACAAGGGCGAAAGACACGGAAGAAGTCAGTATGCAGACCTGATAGCCATATAAATCAGCAGCATCCACCTTAGCTCCCTCTTTCAGAAGTAGTTCAGCAACTTGTATGTGACCACGTACAGAACTCCAGTGAAGTGCTGTCTGCCCGGTGTGATCCACAGCATTTACATCTCCACCATGCTGTCCAAAGACCACAAAATCATCACCCAGCCAATATAGAAAATTATTCAGGCAACTACAGCTACCAGGAGCAAGTACTGCGTAGAAAGCCCATTCACGCACTCAAGTACATAACAGGCATACTCCTATTGATCGCCATGGGGTACACTACATTGTATGAGCAGACTATCCCAAGCCCGCCACACGCTCATTTGCTTATACTCGAAACTGTGGAGGAATTAAACTGAGGCAAATGGTGAATGCGACAAACAACAAGCTGGTGCCCTCGAACGAGTCCACGAGCTACAAATCCATGCGGTTAACCAACTCAAATATACGGCCTCGGGAAAATTCCCCTCGTTGTAAGCATGGCTGCCCAAACCTACCCAGCCACATCACTAGGACATTCAATTGTCCCGTCAACCGAGTAAATGAGCAGCTGAGAAAGCTCCCATGGCTACACTCCAAGCTCATACACACTTCATGGAATCCCCCAAAGGCCCATACCCAATGCATGGCAATTTCTGACCACGGTAACGATAAGCATCCATCGTTTAAAGCTCGCAGCGGCGTAAATTGTTCCGGACATCGACACTAAGGCGCCCGCAGTTGTGTGGCATGCAAAGTTCAGCTCGCAGAGCAAGCGCGCATGGGTAAAGCTGAGAGGGGAGGGAAGCGGAGCGGGGCGGGGCCGGAACCTCGAGGATGTACTGCGCGGCGGCGACGCGGTTGTTGAGGACGGCCCACTGGAGCGCGTAGTAGCCGGAGGCGTCGGTCCCGCCGACGGGGCGGCCCTCCGCCTCCACCAGCCGCTGCAGCTTCTCCAGATCGCCGTACGCCGCCGCCGTGTACACGTCGTCCTTGAGCGCCTCCTCCTCCGCCACCGCCGCGGCCACCGGCACCTCCGCGGGCGTCGCCGCCGCCGCGGCGGTGGTGTCCTCGAGCACCTCGATCTCCGACGCCATGGGCGGGGATCGGGTCGGGGGTTTTGGGGGAATTGCGGGGCCGGTGGGGCGAGGGGAGGAGCTTGGCTCGGGCTGCCGCGGTGGTTGGGGAGAGCGTGCGTGCGTGCGTGCGTTTGACTGGGCGTTGGCGGCGAGGCGACGGCCTCCGGCGACGCGGGCGGGCGGGCTGGTCTCCGCTCTGGTGGTGGGCCGGAGGCGGAGAACGCGAGAGGGGGCGGGGGAGGGGAGACCCGGACCGGAGAAGGGGGACGAATGTGGGGGATTTTTTGCGTGTCAGGACCTCTGTTTTCCTTATTTTCTGTCGGGCTACAGCTTCGAGTAATTTGAAAGCGATGAAATTCAAATTAATTTACAACCTTAATGCTACATATCTGATTGTAAATCAATTCACAACTTCAGTTAATGATTGTTAGAGCTAGGTTTAAGCATAGGTGGAGACAAAGGTGTTTACCCAAGTGGGTTGCGTCGCGTTGATTTTTCGGTCTGGGTTTTTCCTTGGACCTCTCGAACCACCTGTATTATTTAAATTTAAAATGAACTCGGTTTAAATAGTGAAGGCGTAAAGATGATTTGCGCCATCGTCTACGGAGGCTCCACCCATATCCCTTTGCCATTCTTGTTTTTTCCTACGTTACGTACTCGCTGCTTCTTCTTTTTTTGAAATAAAACATCCTCTTTATTTATTAGTAATAATGGTTACATCGTTTATAAGGAAATCTACAATATCGTACTCGCTGCTACTTCTATTTACATATCTACTCCGTGGATATAATTGGTTGAGACGTGACCTTTTCGATAACTCGGCCTATTTGGACAAGAAGTGTTTTCTATATGCTCCACCTCAAAGTACATAAAAGTTGCACTTGATCTAAGCATGGCCTAATTAGCGCTGCCTGTTCTCCATGTTAAATTCGCGGTACCTTTTTTTCCTTTTCGACAAGCACACTTTCTTTTTCTTGATTATCTTAGTTATGTAGTGTTTTTTCTTGATAATCTTAGTTATGCAGTGATTTTCTAATAACGCTTTTTCGATACAGTAACTACTATTATTGTGAGATGAAGATATTGATATCGTACTTTGTTTGGTTTCTAACTTACTAGATGATGCCATTGAAAATTTGAAATGACATTACGATCCAATTAAGCCTTAGAGCAACTCTAGCAGACCCCGCAAAACGCCAGCCCGCAAAACGCGTTTGCAGTTCGCGCAAAACCGCTTTTGCGGGCCGGCGAGGGCTAGCACAGATGCAGACCCCCCAAACGGACCCGTAAAAATGTATATTCGCGGAATATGCTTTTTTACGGGTCGGCTATGCGGGTTCTGCTCGGGCTCCAGCGCAACGACCCGCAAACACAAGAACTGCAAATCTGAAATTGTCATAGGGTTTCACAAACAAGTTCAAATTCAAATGACATAAACAATTTGCGCGCGAATAAAAGCGAAGTTCGTTATGCAAAAGAGGGCATGCAAAGGTATGCGCCCATGTCCGGCATCATCTTGGGGGTCGATCTTTACTCGGCGCCATGGAGTCCATTTAAAACTTCATTGGCGCCACCGTAGCCACCTCCGTCGCTTGTTCCAACTCCCGCACCGAAATCATCCACATTGCCACTGTGTGGAGCAGAGAAAACATCACCGGAACTGGCAGACGGACCGGCCGAGGCGACTATTCTCCTCTTCAAGATCTCTCTCCTTGCCATATCATGCCATGTTTTGGTGACCTCGTCCATGCCATTGCGGTTCATTGACATGATCTTGTTCTCTTCGGCGAGCAACAATGACAACGATTTGTTTTCAGAGGCGCGTACTTTTCTCTCCTCAATGGCAGCTCTGCGCAGCCCCTCTTCCTTGAGCATTTGCCATTTTTCTTGCTTCTCTTTTGCCTTCTTTTCGGCCAACTCTTTCTTGATCTCCAACGACTTCAACAACATTAACTCGTTTGATTGCACCATGGCATCAATCTTCTCCCTCAAGCTTGATGCTTCTTGCTCTCTCTTTATCTTCTCTCTAGTCTTCTTGTCGCCATCGGGCTTATTCAAATTTCTTGGGCCATCATCATCCTCGTCTTCATCCATGTTTGTAAGTGAGCCTCTCTTGGGTGGGGACTCTTTGTCGATCAACTTTCACTTCTCGCACTTTTGGAGCAACTCCCAACAATGCTCTAATTTGAAAAATCTGCCTTTCGAAGCTTCCATGTCCTTGTATCTTTGTTGAGCAATCTTGTCCTACACAATGCGAACAAGGTGATGCAATCATTTTTCATGATACATTATAATGATGCACAACTTCAACAAAGGCAAAGCAAACTCACATAGTCGGACTCCACGGTGCCACTTGGAGGTGCATTGCGTACTTGCTCCAAGCAAGCTGCCCAACGGCTGCACATAGGCTTGATGTTCTCCCAACGACCTTGAAGCGACCGAAATGTGCGTGGAGTCTTGTTGGGGTAGTTTTTCATAATGCGGAAGTATTGATCTTCGATCCTTTGCCAATATCTCTTGGCGGTTTGATTAGTACTCAGTGCTTGCATCAAGAGACACCGCACTCCATGCTTTGATCAAAGCTTGATCTTCCAAGATGGTGTAGTTTTTGATCTTTGGCTTTTCCCAGCTTTTGCTTGTGAATTCTCAAACGCTTCCGCTTCAATCTCCGCCAAGTCGTCCGCACAACCATGATCGTCCACGCCGCCCTCCGTTTCATTGTAGTCGAAAGGCTCGACAGGGGCTTGATCAATGTCAACCGCGTTCGTGTCCAACAAGTTCACGAACTTGGTTGTTGCATTGTTCGAACCACCGCTATACCGAACGATGACAAGTCATGAGCTATCGAAAAACAATGGCAAAAATGAAAGAGAATCACCAAAGTCCGAAGAGATATACCTTCCGGCCATTTCGTCGAACACCTCGCTCGCGGGTGCAGCGGCACCCTTGAACGGCATCGCCGGAGCACCACCTTGGGGGGGGTGGAGTGAGGGGTTGAAGAAGATTTGTTCCTTGAAGTCGGGACCTTCCTCCGCTTCACGCCCGCGACCTTGTCGGCCTTCTCCGTCGCTGGCCGGGATCGCACAGCGGCATTGGCGCCCGGAGCGCGGGCCATCGCGGCGGGGGTAGCCGGATTCCCGCCCTGCACAAGCACGTTGCCCTGCCGCTTGCGGGCAGGCGTGGCGTGTGCTTGGGCGACGCCGGCGGGGCCTACATGGCCGGCGACAAGATCCGCCCGAGGGGAAGGGGCGTGCGCGACCTCGACGGGTGACGGGGGACAGCATGGTGTCGTCCATGGCGGCGAGGGACGGCCGGGGAGGAGCAGCCGGAGCTTTCAGAGGGGGGGCAATGGTGGCGGAGGGTGCGGAGAGCGGGAAAGGGGGCGCGGAAATGTCCCTCCCGCATAATCTCGCGCCGGATGGGGGTTGAGCTCGGGTCGGCCTCCCAGCCCGTGAAGATGGAGGTTGAGAGAGAAGATTTGCCGCGCCCCACGAAATTTTTTGCGGGCCGGGGCGTTTTACGGGGTCTGCTCGTGCATATTTTTTGGCCCCAACCCGCAATTTGGCGGTTATTTTGCGGGCCGGGGCGTTTTGCGGGGTCTGCTAGAGTTGCTCTTAAAGGACCCTGACAATCTATACTCTAATGCCTCTACTTTGTTTACTCCATTGACCGTGGGAAACAACACATACTCCGACGCATGTCCTTTTGTTATACTCCAGTCATCAGTGACCCTGGCATAAGACATTTTAACAGCTTTGTTCCTGAAGCCGCTACTTTCATGCTTTCTTGAGAGGGTTCAGGACACCTCAATTGGAGCAATTTGACACAAAAAACATATACCACAATAAGTCTGCATTGCATCCATCCAATCATTTACACAATGATAAAAGTAACTCCCACTGAAAATTCAAGACATGAAAGTCCGAACAATTCGCCTGGCCCATGTGTCGGTGGACATTTGAGGTGTCCATTTTGATGTACCGCGTTGGAGTTGCAATTAATTATTTGGTATGCATGCTTGGATTGGGAGTATTTTCTATGCTTCTCCTCAAAGTAGACAAAAATTACACTCAACCCAAGCATGGCCTAATCATTGTTGCTAGTTGTTGGCTGTATAGTTTTCAATGTTAATCCAAGCCTCCTTTTTCTCCATTGTCTTACTTGTGCAGTGTTTTTCTAACAAGACTTTTTGCAATACACTAATTATGTTAACTTAAGATTAAGATGTTGCTCTCATTGCAACTAACAAGGTGACGCCATTGAAATGACATTACGATCCAGTTTACTAGTTAAGACCAAAAGGACCCTGGGAAACAAGATGTATTTTGATGCCTATCCCGCATCCTCGTCGTCGTCGACTCGGCGGTGGAGGCCTGCTTGATCAGGGTCATGTTCGGGACTGGGCTCCGCCGGGCTGGTATTGGGAGGTGCTACCTTCCGGGGGACGTAGGTTGGTGAGGAGGCAGCCCGTTGTTGACCCGATCCTTGTTTGGTGGCGGTCGCGTGGGCCAGTGACGGTGGTGAGGCATCCGGACACCGCGGAGGTGGTACGTCACCGTGTCAGCGAGGAGGACGAGCACGTCCGTCGCTACATGGTTGCATTGGAGGGCGGATTCGACAATACCTGGCAAGTTCTTCAGGGATCTCACTGGAGCTATGATCCTGTGATGGTTCCTTATCTTTGGGTGTCCACCGCTCGCGTCGATACCCGTCGGGCGCTACGGTTCTAGTTGTATTAGTGATAATATTCGACGATGTACGGACACCAAGAGATGATATACTTTTGCTTATAATTATTGAATGCATGCTAATTTGAATACTATACTTTATTTTATGATTTGGTTTTGCTTATTTTATGATTTGGTTTTGCTTATTGAATGCTCATATTGGATAAGTTCTCCTTCATTCCCGTGTGCTAGACAATTTGATATGATAATGCATTCGGGAATGAAAGCAGGAGCTACGTACATCGATCATCGATAGTCAACCCATGATTAATAATAATGATCTAGTTTAAT